AGGCCGATGCGAGCTGGTTGATCTGGATGCTGTCATAGTCGTTCTGGATGGCATACCAGACGACTCGACTTATATCAATTGCGGACGGCTCGTATAGCGCACTCCTGGTTTCGCATATCAGGAAATACTGAATGCCATATCGGTGATGGCGAGGCTGCTCAAGAAGTCATAACATCATGCCAAGTCATGAAGATAAAGCACGTAGAGAGCCAGAGGACCACCTCGCAAGCTAGCTCTGGTTCAGCGCTGACTGTATCCCGAACCAGCTTGCGTGCGATAAGGTAGATCTGCTCTCTCGGGTGACGTACAAGCCCCAGTCGTTCCACGCGTAGATGTCGTGTCACATGCCTGACCTTCGCTCATCTTCAGGGACCTAAACTAGTTCGAGCCAACATCTTGTGCACCAACGTTACATGCACACGGCTGTTGGATATCAGTACCGCATGTACAGCCCTAATACCTGATCTGAGGGTGAAGCGAGAAACAGATTGGGAGACTGCAGTTGTCCAAGCGGTCGGACGGTCTGGCTTGTTTGCACCATCAAGTTTCACGATGGTGAATTGACCCGACGACTTGGATACGGAAACACGTCCTTCCTGGTCATTTTTGATACCCGCCACACGCTTCGAAGCGGCAATCTCACCTGATTGTCAGCCGGTGTCGTCGAAGGCTTTCTACTCGTGCAAGTATCTCGTGCTTTTTGGCGCCGAATGAGTCCCAGATCTCTGGGCTCCTCGACCGACTGCGAAGCCGTGCAAGCACTAAGTTAGACCAGCCCTGATTGGCACACGATTGTGTACGCGGGGTCCCGACCAGAGACAGGACATGGCAGAATCAATTACAGTACATGGCGGAGCTTTGCGTGGTGTCGCGTGCTCTCCCCATCAGTTCGCGCAATCCTCGGAGTGTTCGAACTCTTGACTGCGGTGAAGCGGGGACATGCGAACTACTCGCGTAATGGAAATTGTGTTGACCACATGTATAAGGCTCGGTGAGGTATTGTAGATAACCTAAACCTGCCGAACGCGGCGAGGGCCGTCCGGAGCAGTGTATAGCCTACAACGGGTTAGCCAACCAAGCCGTTAGCCCTGATACCTGCAGATACCTTGGCAGATATCACTCCATGATAGCCATCCAAGGTAGTAAGTTACATGTATGGACGTCGATTGTAAGAAGGGCGTAGCCTCACCCTTGACACGTTCTTATCTGGGCCAGGGACCCTAACTGGGAGTTCGCATACCTCACACATGAGGCTGATAATGCGTGGAATATAGGTGAGCCGCGGCGCAAGAGACGTCATGGCGGTGATCGATGGTAGAATCAAGACACCGGAAGAGCTTCGCTGCGGTTGGCTTGCATGCCCGTTGTACCCCTCACGCCTCTTTTTACACCACTTGTACGTGAATACTGCATGTGTGCTCTCGGCGCAAGCGAGGAACAAATGGCGAGGCTTCATAGGTGAGATTAGACGCCTCGGCGATCAACACGACGGAGCTTAATCGGCTTCAGCGCGTTCAAAAGGCAAAAGCCGAGGTCGTTATCTGAGCACGGTAGCACCAACCTCCCGTCTGACCAAGTCTCGAGTCTCGAACAGCCAGAGTCTTGTTGCGACTGGACAGCAGCACACACTATCCATGCAACTTACATCTTGGCAACCACGCCGCTACGGTACGCCCCCCATAGTTGCCGTTATGCTTGCCTCTGTGCGGTTGCATCAGAACTACTTGGCGTATCCACCAGTGGCTTGACGATCTCCATGGCTGCGAACCAAAAGGGCCCAATCTATACCACAAGTGGAAGGCAGCAAGAGTTTACTATGCGTTCCATACACCATCTTTACATTTTCCGTCCAGTCGGTACGCATCAGCACGATATGGGTGGTCGCGCCATGATAGAGGTGTCTTGATAGAGAAGCCCTGATAGAGGTGCTTCCGTCTAGCATCGGTACAGTAGATGGCTGGGTTGCGCTGCATCATAAGTACTTCCCTCCCCTTCCCTTCGTCATTCCGTGTCGTTTCATACCTAGTCAAGTGATTGTTCCTTATACGCAATACACCATGGCCGCTGTCACCGAGGTCATGGACCGGTCGATTCAGGTACGATACGGCAGTCAAGGGTTACCGCTCACCCGATTAACGTGTCAATAGCCCATGGGCAACATCAATCCAGATGTTCCACCCCTCACTGAGAAGCAGAATGTCTTCAATCCAACCCATGCAGACGCCAAGTCGGCCACCTCATCTGAGAGGGCGGACGAGAAGGCTGACGCAAAGGGGCCCGCCTTCGTTGGGGAGATGGAGGAGACCGAACTGGATAACGAAGAAATCACGGTCGACCCATTCGTACCATTCGATGACCTACCGGATGAGCCAAAGCGCATTGTCACGATCAGAGCCATTGTTCTCGGCTGCATTTGCGGTGCGCTCGTCAACGCATCCAACATCTATCTCGGTCTTAAGACTGGATGGACCTTTGGTGCCAGCTTGTTCGGTGCTATCATCGGTTTCTCTGTCCTGAAGTCCTTTGCCAAGGTTCTCCCAGAGAACTTTCCTATCCTCGGTGGTTCTTTTGGACCGCGAGAGAACAACATTGTACAGACCGCAGCAACCGCTGCTGGTGGTCTGTCCAGTGTCTTCATCTCTGGTATTCCGGCTCTGTACCAGCTCAAGCTCCTCGATACCCCGGAAAAGGACTTTGGACGCCTGATCTCCCTTACCATTGTTGGAGGTTACTTCGGTTTCGCGTTCGCAACTCCTCGTACGTCTAGACCGCACCCCTTTCCACGTGCACTTCGACTAATGTCTTACAGTTCGTAAATTCTTCATCATCTATGTTGCCCGCGAGTTGCGCCTCATCTTCCCGTCCTCTTCTGCATGTGCCATGACCATCCGAAGCATGCACGCCGCCGCTACCGGCGAAGCTGTAGCAAAGATGAAGATGAAGGCTCTCAGTATTGCCTTCTCCGGTGCGCTGCTTCTTCGTGTCGTTTCTCAATACGCCACGGGAATCCTTTGGGATTGGCACCTCTTCACTTGGCACGTACAAAAAAAATCAAAAAAGGTTCATAGCTGGTTCTACTATTAAGTTAGGTTCTTCATCTGGGGCAAATACAACAACCAGGCTCTCGCCGTCGAGAACTGGGGCTGGCTGATCGAGTGGACTCCTGCCTTCATCGGAGCTGGTATACTTGTCGGTCTTAACACTGCCATCTCCTTCTTCGGCGGTAGTGTCCTTGCTTGGGCTATCATTGGACCTGCGCTCGTTCACAACAACGTCTGCTTTGGCGTCCAACTCGCACCTGACGACCCCCATTGGAGCGGCTATGTCAGCTTTGCCTCTCTCAGCACTTCGGCGTCCACCAAGGACACCCCCAGCCCACGTTATTGGATGTTGTGGCCTGGTGTCTTGCTCATGATTGCTGTCTCCTTTACAGGTTCGTATGATGTGCCTTCTATGTTTTAACAACCACTAATATTTCCACAGAGCTTGCACTACAATACAAGGTCATCTTCTTCGTCTTCAGAGCAGTGGTTCGCGGATCAGCGAAGGGCCTCAATGCTATGCTTCACACGATGAAGAAGAACTCACCTCTACTGGAGAAGTACAGCCACCAGGATCAGAAAGACATTGTCGAAGACCCTGCTTCCGAGGACGAGCTTGTCAAGTTCTGGATGTGGGGACCCCTTCTGATCGTCGTCATCATCTGCGCCTGCGTGGTCATGGGCGTCCAGTACGACATGCCCGTAGGCATGAGTCTTTTGTCCATCTTCCTGGCCTTCTTCTTCTCCTTCCTGGCTATCCAGTGCTCCGGTGTCACGGACATTACTCCACTCACTGCTGCCTCCAAGGCATCCCAGATCGTCCTCGGTGGCGCGACCAAGGGTGAGCACTGGGCTACCGACCACGCTCAGCGTCTCAACCTGCTCGGTGGTTCCCTCGCAAGTATGGGTGCGAACCAGTCGTCCGACTTGACCGGTGACTTCAGGGTCGGCTTTCTGCTCCGCACTCCACCAAACCAGCAGTGGCTCGCCCAGGGCGTCGGCACAATCGTCGCCGTCTTCCTCGCGCCAGCCATGTTCATGCTGTTCGCCAAGGCGTACCCATGCATCATCGATATCGACGCGGAGACTTGCCCCTTCAGCGGACCATCCATCTCTGCCTGGCGCGCTGTGGCCGTCGCCGTCACCGACCCGACCTTCCCGATCCCACCCTCTTCCGGCATCTTCGCCATCGTCTTCGCCATCTTCGGTGTCTTCATGATCCTGGTCCGCCACTACGCCTACACCGGCAAATGGGCCAAGTACCGGGTCTACCACCCCAACATGATGTGCGTCGGTCTCGCCTTCGTCCTGCCCCAGACTTACTACGGCACCGCCATGATCATGGGCTCCGTCCCGGCCTACTTCTGGGCGAAGAGGAACCCAAAGCACTTTGACATCTACGGATATGCTGTCGCTGCCGGCCTGATCGCTGGAGAGGGTATTGGTGGTGTCATCAACGCTATCTTCGAGATTGCCGGCATCGCTGGTCCAACTCCGTATGGCACGCAAATTGCTTGCCCGATGAACTCTTGCTAGACGAAAAGCTTGGTCGGTCGGTTTGGTTTGTATGATGGATGATGATGAGGTTGTTATAATGGAGTTGGTAGAGGGGAGGATAATATTGTGATGAGTTTGATGTGTAATGATCTTCTAGTAGCATGATAGACCACGTCCGTTACATGATAAGTCTCTCGCTACTTGGATCGACCTCCCAGTCTTCGTGAATTCGTTGATTTCAGTAATACCCCACAACGTGTCCGTCTATCGACCAAAGCCCGAAGAGATCAGAAGCCCGCAAAATCCGGCTAGCAAAAAGATCGATTGCCAACCATACAAACTAGTGCAGATACCAGAAAACCTCATAGGAGGCAGAAGGGACCGCAAAGATGGCCGTCGCACGCTCCTCGAAACGGAGAAATGTCGGGTCCAGCCAAAAGGGCGGCGGATGCGCAAAAGAATGGGTCTCGCCGGAATTCGAATCCGGGGCCTCTCGCATATTGAACTCAGGGTGTAGCCCTAAGCGAGAATCATACCACTAGACCACGAGACCATGTTAGAACGAATCAATTGCTCGATTTTTGATCGAATGATCGCTGCTCTTGATGGATGGAGCGTCGAGTATTGTTGTATATATTGTTTGTAAATTAGCGCACAACAGATCAAAGCAAAGATCCATGGGCAGTGAGCCAAAGAGACAAAGGAAGGTGTCCGTCCCGTAGAGAATAAGGCCAAGATGTTCAGGATTGCGCCTTTTTAGCCTGCTCCAACATAATAAGAACAGCCAATCCCAATGCCCTCGAGTGCTTGACACGACGAGTCTCGAGGATCCAACGGGTATTCCTGGGTGCCGCTCCTTGTGCGACTGTTTCTAACCGCCGCTGTTTTACTCCATGAGCACACCTTAGCATATCTGCCCTATCTACCATGGAATGGAGACCATGCATGTTACTTCCCATGTTCAGCGCCTATGAAGCGATGTAAAGGTATGTACTTGTATAGCTCGGTCTCCTTCTCTAATCGCGCTTAGTTGTTCCTCACCTATAGCACCAAACCTTCCCCTACCTCGTGTAGAGCTAGGTAAGTGAAGCCTATCAGACCGAGCCTTGATAGCACGATCTTTCTTCCACTCTTTCTCTCCTGCAGGCTCCCTAGCTACTCTCCCGCTGCCAATCAATCTTCGTCTTTGTAGTGCTGCGTGACCCCGACTTGCAGCTCAGCCACACCATCGTACGTCATTGTTTAGATGATCATGAGACGGGAGCTGTCTATGTACCTTACCTACCTTCCTACATAGAAGGCCAGGCCTGAAGTCCGTTTCAACGCCGCCTGTCTATATAGAAATCTCCACCATACCGCACGCGCTTAATAGCACGATATACCAGCGTCACTGAAACCAATCAAGTACGTCCCTATGTCATGCTCCGAATCAAATACTCCCGCCTGTGTCTCACGCTTTGCTTAGACCTCTCATACAACAAGATCTCGTCAAGATGACTCTCGGCGACAACAAGAAGAACGAAGGCATCTCTGGCAGTGTCACGGCCGTGACTTCGACAGTCGGAAACGGTGTGGGCGGCCTCTTGGGCACTGTCGGTGGCATCGTTGGCGCAACTGGCCGTGGCCTTGGTGAGACCGTCACCGGCGTTACTGGCAATGCTGGCAAGCCAATTGGAGACGCCCTTTCCAGTCTGGGGAACGGCGTGCAGGATGGGACGAACAGGGTGACGACTGGAGTTGAGAATGCGGGCGAGGGGAAGAAGACTTGGTAGTTTTGGTCTCTGATTGGATTGTTAAACGGAGAGGAACAAATTGATGCAGTGTTGGGACGTATCATGATCAAATACTGAGGCAAAGCGACATTCAAAGCTTTTGACGTAGTTTACGACTTGTTAATGACTGCAATTGATATTTTTATCTTCTATGGATTGCCTGCAACATACCCACAACAGCGAATGAGCTCAGGAGCATACATACACCCGTGAACCACGCCACACCCTGGTACTTCCCCAAAGCATAAGTGTCAACGTCGACCTCGTCGCCCAGCAAGAAGGCGCTGATTGGGCCCTCGAGGATATTCGCCACACCTCGCTCGAAAGAGAAAATCCCATAAACAGTCATACTCACGTCTGCGTCTTCGACTAGTGAGCTACAGACTCTCGTGTACAGCACGCTGTAAGACGCAGAGAAAAGGCCCCAGAGGAGCGCGAACGGGACCAGTTTCACCATGCCTTTCGCCGGTGCCCAAAGGAAAAGAACCGCGAGACCAGAAACACAAGAAGCAAAGGAGGTGGGAATGTACGGATTCATCTTGTCCGAAACATGTCCCAGTCCGATTTGGCCAACGACCTGCGAGATGCTGATAGAAGCTAACAAAGCGGATCCCGCTGAGGAAGGGAGGCCAAGGTCCGAAGCGAAGGAGGGGAGGAAGACGTTGGGAAGGAAGAAGCCCAGGCCTTGAAGAAAAATTGCTGCAGCAAAGATCAAGAAATGCGTGCTCTTGAGCACAGCCATTACTTCAGTGGAATGGCCCAATTTCTCATTCCCCTGGCCAGGAGATCGTGCATAGGCTGTCCGAGGCTTGATCATGAATAGGCCGGGTCCTCCAATGATCAGCGTAGCAACAGCAAAAACGCGAAGGGCAGTTCTGAAGCCGAATCGGTCCATGATCGCACCAACAGCAAGAGGGATGATTAGCCCACTGACGCCACTCGCGGCGAAGAGGATACCATATGCCAGACCCCTTTTCTCCACGAACCACTCATTGAGCATGAACAGGAAAGGCGTATAGCAGATGACCCAACCTGCTCCATACAGCGCTCCTTGTGAGAGGAGGAGCTGCCATGTCGCGGTGGCGAAGGATGCCGCGATCAGGCTCACCACGCAAATGGCAAACCCAGTAATGCATAACAACCTCTGGTGTTGAGGCCAGCGCATACATATGGCATTGGTAAAGGGCATGCCGAGGTATGAAATGCCCGTCGCCAGCGTGCCAATAGTAGGAATGCTCTTACTAGCCATGAAACGCGGATTCGCAGAGTAGTGTGATTGGAAGATGCCAAATGCTAGTGGAAACCCCCAGATCATGGCTTCAATCACCCAACAACCGAGAAGGCAAGTCCATGCTTGACGACCGCCATCGACAGGTGGTAAGTTGTCACCATGGGAAGATATAGAAGCTTCATCGTCAGAAAGTAGACGGTCGAAGTCCGAGGAGAGGACGGTTGAAGCTGGAGTATGTAGATCTCGCAATGGTATAGACAATGGCGACGCGGGATCTGCAGAGGAATATGACATTTACAAGGAGTAATAGAACTGGTGCCCTTTCCAGCTGCCAAAAGAATCACATGCTGTTCTTAGATAGGGTCTTTTGGAAACGACTAAGTACATACATGCTCGATTCATCTTCCATGATCGACATGGGAGATGCAACGCAAGCCAAGACCGTCGCGAGCCGGGCTGACCCACTTCCGGACCTCGACGCGTCTTCGCGTTTTATTGCTGTGCTCTTCTACTCGCTCCATACCTCAAAGAGGAAAAGAAAACCTGATTTTAACGTTCCTTAACACCTACAGCAACGCCGAAATGTTGCTATGAGCAAGATGCCCAGCGCTGCATACTGCAGACGAGGGATAGGAGCATCACCGCTGCTCGCCTGCGCCTGTCACTGCCAGCTGACCACAGCACTTTCGTGTTGGTCTTGACTCTCTGGACATCCGGGTGTCTTGCCTGTCGGTGCCGTCCATGTAATCAGCATCTTCATTCCGCCCTCGCTCAGGTCGTCGTCATCGAAGTAGCCAACGAGTGGTCCCCCGGCGTAGATTGCATCCTCGCCCGGCGCTGGCGCTTTTAGCAGCACCTCTTGCTCCGACCAGTCGTATTTGACGATGTTCTCGACAAGATCTGCGCTGGCGCCGGCGCTTGATGAGAGGGGAGCTGGCGCCTGCAGGAACCGGTAGTATATTGTGTTGTCCATGTACTTGTCCTGGTAAATGAGAAGAAAGGTCTTGTGATATGGCGAGTAAACGAGATCGGCCGTCATGAAGTTCCCGGTAATGAAGAAGGCGGTGGAATCCGGAGCTTGCATACCCGAGGACCAGAAGGATGCTTCCGTCCAGTATTCATACTGTAATGTTCAGGAGTCGGCAACCCTGAGTATGGAATCACAACTTACGCTGTCTCTGTCTGAGACTTTATCCGCATCCACACGAGAAAGTAAGAGTCCACCATCGGTCCTGCCGAACAGATAGACCTTTCCATTGTTGCCTCCCTGACCGTCACTTCCCCAGCTTCTTGCTCCCCCTATTGTTCCCCACTCAACCTCCCAGCTCTGCCAGATCCTGTTTGATATGCGTTCAGCGACCGGTCCACCATCACCCGGCATGCTAATGCCCAGGAGGGTTGCACCGGTATAGGTAAACGTTGTATTACCCGTGTCGCGCTGGACCTCGTCGTATACGACGGGAGCATACACGAGCCCATGTGTTGAGTTTAGTGGAATGATCGCGGATTCCGGCCATATCGCGTAGCGGTAAGAAATGGGATCCGCTCCTTGCATGGCGTTGTTATATCCTAACTCACCAGTGGTATAAGGAACTAGGCCTCGCATCCTGGCCGCATTATCACTCCAAGCACCAACACCATCTTGAAGGCTCAGTGAGGTCCCAGATGCGGCATTGTCACCAATGTCAACAGCTGCAGATCCCGATACAAAGCCAGTAAATTCCCCGTCACCATATCCGGAAGGTGGAGAGTATGTGCCAGTATCGCAAAAGAGGAAGACCTTGGCTCCATTTACCACGCCGCCTTTTCCACCATCGCGGGACAGGTGAGGTGCATACTGAAGTTTGCCAAGTGTAGAATCCGGGGAGACGATATGATTGCCTGTGCCATTGGAAAGCGGATATGAGTCTGTCAAAGCAGGATCCATGCCAGGCGTGAGCTTGCTAGGTGGGAGTGAAGGGCAAGGGGGTGAGGTCTCGTTGACAAACTGAGTGCTCGGATTATTGGTCGAAGCACCCAGGAACGTCACCGATGCTACCTCCGGGATCAACAATCCAGAAGGGGGCGTGTATGTCGGAGCTTGAGAGGCGATAGATGAAGTCGAGGAAGGGAATCCACCGGAGAACTGACCATACTGCCCCTGCGGCACGCGACGTTCTGCAGATTTTAGCTGACAGCCGACTTCTAGAGACAGGAGAGGTACCGTGAGCGTGGAAGTGAGCGTGATTAAGGCGATGTGCTTGGTGAAGAGAGTCCGCCACTGCCAGAGTGGTCAAGGAAATGATTGCTTGAATCAAGAAAGTCTTCATGATGTATTGGGGCACAAGGGTTGGTGTCTAGAGTGCTTTGAAATGTACGGTGACCTTAGAAGCAGAATAAGGGAGCGTATGAAGTTTGTGGCTTTGGGCAGAGAACGACTTCGAAGAAAAGACTGAAGGGTGACTCTGACTGAGAGATTATGGAGCTTAAGGTGTAATCATGTGCGAGATTAGAAGTCCCTGACCGTGGTGGTACAGCGCGCTAGAGATTCCTTTCCCCTTGAATTAGGCA